GCCATCTCCGAGGCCTCCGAATCACAGCGGGATGCCACGCCTGCAAAGGAAACGCACCAAAGTTGCAAAATCAAATGGTCCTCAGCGAGAGCCCTGGCCCATACAAGGTCCCCAGCCCACCGTTCTGCCTCGGGGAGACATCAGGAGCACACATGCGCTTAGGGAAGAGCGCAGGGTGGGCTCACAAGCAGGCATTCTGCAGTAAAAAACCCAGCTCTGAGCAGAGCCTAACTTAAGGACTTCCCAAATCACAGGTTATATCCGTATCCTTCACAGAAGAATCACAGAATGGTTTGGGGGGGAAGGGACCCCCAGAGGTCACCCAGCCCAACCCCCTGCAGGAGCAGGGACACCTTGAACCACATCAGGTTGCTCACAGCCCCGTCCAACCTGGCCTGGAATGTTCCCAGGGATGGGGCCTCCACCCCCTCTCTGGGCAACCCCTGCCAGGGTTTCACCACCCTCACTGGAAAGAATTTCTTCCTTATATCTAGTCCTTGTCCTCAAATTCCTGACAGAAAACTCATTTAGATGTTTTTCACGCTGTTCTGAGGCAAGTTAGTGTTTGGCTGCCCCACGCTGTAGGGCATCAATGTCCAGTGATAACAAAGCGTTATCGGGAAAAATCATAGAATCGCTTTGGTTGGAAAAGACCTTTAAGATCATCGAGTCCAACCTTTAACCGAACCCTGACATCCCACCACTAAACCACATCCCTAAATATAATATAAAAATAATTGTCTCCTGTTGGAATCAAACTTGCTATTGGAGAATTTCTTGTGAAGCACCTGGATTTAGTGCTGCGAGAAACCCGTTTCAGCTTCTGTGCTACTCCCGAACTTAGATTTGGGAGGTCGGCTACGAAATCGGTCTGTTTTCCAGACTGGAGCGTCCAGGAACTGGTGTTTAAGAGAAGCCCATTTCAGAAAGGCGAGCTGGTCAGCCCACACTGACACAGCAGCCGACAGTGTTTTCAACAGCGTGAGACTAACGCCTCGTGGCACGGAGCGCTGTGCCGCAAGTCGTTGCTGCATCAACTCCAATTCCATGCCGAAAGCAAGGACAGGAGCTATCCAGCTTGCTTCCTCCTGAGCAGGGAAATAAAAATAAACGGAGAGGACTGAGACAGACGGGGTTTTCAAGGATATGTTCTGGCTGTGCCGGTGGTTTTCTTCTGAACGGACTCTATTTACCATTATGGTTTCATAATGAAAAAGGAAAGTCAACAGCAGTTAGCCTGGCACTGTGCTGCTAGAGCCTTTTTTTCCCCTCTTTATCCTTGCGAATTCCTCTATAGCAGGCTAACCACTTCAGGGCTGGCCTGCCAACTAGTGGCACTGTCGCTATTACAGGATGCCAGGCCTCCTGTTGCAGAGGGGAATTCCCCAGAACTCCAGATCCTACCAGACTCATCGAGTCGTTTTCAGCGAGTAAACTCATTTCTCCAGATAAAAAGAAGCGTTTGTCTTGTCAGCTGAGATTTCAGTAAAGCATTTGATGTAATACCACCCAAGAAAGTATTAGATAGACAGGAGAAGGCTGGGATTAGTAAAAAGGAAGATGTGAGGCAGTTAACCTGTCCCAAGGGAAAACTGAAATGGATAATTTGGAAATGAAGAGGCTAGAGTAGAGTTTTATCAAGACTGGCACTGGCAACGGACTTGTTTAATTAACGCTTTCACTAACAGCCTTGGCACAATTAGAAGAGTGCTGATGACACAAAGATGGAGGTATTGGGGTTTATAAAAAAGGATGAGGAAATATTCAGGGTCATTCACTGTTCTGTCAGAGGATGAAACTCGGTAATAAAAAACATAAGGTCATGCATCTGTGAACAAGAGTAACTGCTGTAACCCAGAACGTTATTGATTTGAAGCAACTCAAGTCAAAAAAGGGCTTTAGGATACAAAGTAATTACGAGCAGATTAAGCGATATGATAGATATGAAAGGAGAGATGCAATCCTGGAACACATCAGGAGGAATATTTCCAGACTAGACAGTAAATGCGAGTGCTTTACAGGACCCGAAGAGACTCGCCTAAAGTAAGCACAGAAATTATTTGTATCTGGAGGAGCCAACCTCGATGGAACCAACCAACCAACCAGCCGTGGGCAGGAAGAAACGCTGCTAAGGTTACAGTTGTTCTCTATAAAATAGTCCAGAATGGGCGAACACCCGGGAAGGAGAAGAACGTTTTAAGCTAAAGGACAAGTCTGTCACAAGATCAAGAGTATTAAACTGATGAGAAATGCATCTGTGTTGCAAAGGACAAATGTCCTTAGCTATAAGGAGAGCCAGATGCTCAGTCTCAGTGACAGTATCAGACACAAACCCCTTAATTTCTATGATGCATTTATCAAATAAATTCTGGGATATGAAGCCCGTGATAGCAGAAGGCAGGACTTGAAAATCCTGGAAAGTCCCTTCTGTATTTTCATTGCTCTGCTGAAAGACAGAGAATCCAACAGACCGCCCTGAATTTTACGTTGGACTTTCCCACTTCCATCAGGAACCCACGAGGATTAGAATCAATTTTTTTTTTTTTTTTTTTTCCAAAGTGGGCACAAAGAAACAACAGTCTCGCTGCAGGACTCACCAAGACCACCAGACTTCCAGCCCAGCCTTTTCCAAGACATTCTTCAAGGCCTTTACACGTTAAACAGTCCAGGACAGGAAGCTCCTCTACCACCTGGTGCACCCAGCTCTGATACGCGCTGAGCACTAACAGTGCTTTAATTACCAAAAAAACCCCACCCAAACCAAGAAAACTCTCTTTAATGTGACAGTTACTATCAAACCTAAATACCCTATTTAAGATGCACACCTACAAATATACAGTAACTTTGCCCACTTTAGGTTTTATTTAGTTAGAAAATATATTGTAAAAGCCACAGACACAAGCACAGGTAAATGCTGGAGTGATGGCAAAAACCTGCCCTTATTTGTGGAAATAGATGAGGTTTAGGGGAAAGGACAGGCTGGCCCAAATACAGACAGCAGAGCCGATTCCCAAACCCCACTAAGGAGGCAAAAGTTTCTCTGTTAGACAGACTTCAACCAAATTCCTTTTCCCAAACGTTCATCAAAGCCTTTTCTTCTTCTAGTTTGACTGTATCTTTCTATCACCGAATTTTCAAAACTGCTACAGGTCACATTTGATTTAGAGGGCTTTGGCCTGAAGGTCAATAACAAAAAAATCCCCTGTAAGCTCAGCCTAAAAAGGGAGTAGCCTGGCAGAGACACTAACCTGAACGTCCTGCGTCTCTACGAGACAGAGCGTTGACGCTTTTTGCCGTAGGAGATTTGTCTGATTCGGACTTCTAGTTGGAAGGCATCCAATCTTTCCTTTGGGTTAAAAGCCAGCATATCATGCAGGAGCTTGCAGAGATCATCTGGCATGGACTTCTTGTTCTTCAGGGGAATTTGTAATTTCATGTTGGGGTTCTCCAGCAACGCTTCTCCGAGGGGAATAAGGTCCTTGCCTTGGCAGATGTAAGTTCCTGAGCACAGATTAGGAGGAGACAGGTTATACAGGTAGAGGAAAGTCTACACAGAATGCTGTCACGTGCGGCAGGGATAGACAATGTGGGAAAAAAACCCATCTGAAAGATGACCAGAAAGATCACTTATTAAGAAGTGACCGCCAAGTCAAATATTGGGAGATGATATTACCAGAAGAGGCTTTTACTTTCAAAGAGTAATCAAGATGTCGCACAAGACCGTGCGCGTAACCACGCGTGGAACAGAGGGAGCAAGTTTAAGCATGCCATGCTCATCGAGCAGTTCTCTGGACCATTTGCAGAGAAAACGGGCTGCTGAAATGAACTTCCTCCATTTTACGCCGTTTCACCCTACTTGGAAGCTCTAGAAGAGGAGGGGAGACTGTGCTTGGCTGAGGTGACTTGAAAGAGTTAACCGCAAAACTTATTTGCTCAGTTAGTCAAACAATTTTCAATTAAAATGACAGCATACGCCATTTACCGTTAGCCAACTTCTCCTCGGCAAGATTAAGGAAGGGAAATGTAAATTTGCTCCTGGTAATCTAAATAATTTCACCAGTTGTTGAAAATGATTAACCGGCTTCCAAAACAGACAGTAAAAACAGCTTTGCTCACTCAAGCTGTTCTGCCCCTGCACCAAGCAAAGAATAAATGTTTCAAAAGGCAGTGGCCTGTCGGTGTATAGAAAAGGTTGGCCCTGCAAACTCCTTATCTCAAGTTGGCGGGGAGCTATTTTAATGAAATCTGCTCATGCTTTGGTCTCAGTTGCCGCCATTTGCTTGTTTTTGTAGGCAGGAACTAAAACATTTATCAATGTTTGGCATTTTAAAAAGAAATAAATAATGGAATTAGAACTGAGCCTACTTCAAGATGAAAAAAAAAAAAAAAGAATAAATTAAAGGGGTAGCACAATAGCTTCTCAAAGTTCCTCTGTAGAAATTCCTTTTAAGAATTTAAGCATTTAAAAGGAAGATGGACGGGTATACGATGATCTCAGAGCCTGGGTAGATGTCTTCAGTTATTATGCTAATGTGCATGACTGGCATTCTCTCCTCTCGAGATGGGTTTTCCAATGCAATATACTTTGTACTAAATGATTTTTCAGAAAAGTATTTCAAGCGTGCATTTATGTGGGGGATTTGAAGGAAGGCAGAGGCGGGGAGAGAGCAGGCCATCAGAGGAGTCATCCCTGTGAGATCTTGCATCTCTAAACTGTGAGGGAACTCAGCCAGATGGCAGCGAGGCTTATCTAAACATCCTTTCCCAGTTTATTATTTGGGTCCTTGGAACACCCTTTCAGTGCTCCGAGCGATCTCGTCCCTTGGCTATGCCAAGTCAAGGAATACGAGCGAAGCCATAAGCCCGATTCCAGAAAGGTTTTGGTTTTAAGAGCATTAAAAGCATTTCTGAGCAAATGGAAGTATACAGATACTAAATCCTCCACGAGGAGCATAGCTGCAAGACAGATGCCTCACCAACAGCCAGGAGTTTTTTTCTCTTACAATTCTTTAGTGATAATAAGGGCCAAATCCATTTTTGAAGGGCGTTCCTTCGGGTAAGGAAGGCCTGACAGCAGAGAAGCCAGAAGCGATCTTTCCCTTAACCTTTAAATCCCACAGAGCATTTCTGGCAGAAGGAATGATCTTCCAAACAAAATTATTTGTAAATATAAAAAGCGTTCCCTCTGCCCTAGTGACATCTCTTCAAGACCTGGAAACCCTGCATGAGAAGCAACTAAATCAGGAGCAATGCATGCTGAAGGGGATTTCTTTGCAGTTCTCTTAAAAACGAAGCAACTAAATCAGGAGCAATGCATGCTGAAGAAGGGGATTTCTTTGCAGTTCTCTTAAAAACCCCCCAAACACCCAAAAAACCCCAACTTTGGGTTTCTTTGGGTTGCAAAGTCTTTGCAAATTCCTGGAAACAGCCACATCCAAAGCATATATGCCACAGCATTTGTAACTATGCCTCGGAGGAACACCCCTCGGAGGATCCCTGCCGATCCAGAATGTCCACTGACAACAGGACAGCACTGATCGGATCCTCACCGAGCAATTCCTTCTCAGTATCCCCGTCTCGGAAGGTGATCCTCTCGACCATAGCCCAGAAAATGATCCCAAGGGCAAAGATGTCAGCCTTCGCAGTGTAGTGACCTTCCCATACTTCTGGAGCCATGTAGAAGTTTGACCCGCACGCCGAGGAGAAGCGATGCTGGTTGACGTTCCCTTTCCCCTGACACACCTTGCTGAGGCCAAAATCTGCTACCTGCGACGCATAAGAAGAAAAGCAGAATCAAGTTATTCACAATCATCAAGTTTACAAGCATGCTTACAAACAGAGCTCGGTGAATTCCACTCTGCAATCCGCCACAGCACGGCACCAACACTTGTCGGGTGGCAACCCCAGTGAAACGGAGAGCCGACTGTCTCCTGCCAGCTGTCCATTCCCCAGCTCCTTCCCTCTTGTTCCCTTTCCTAAGATGGGCAAAACAGGTATCTGTTCGTTATCTTTCCATGAAGTTCATTCTGATTACAACTAATGGAGCACAAACATACCTTGAACAACATCTACTGTAGAAGTGGCTCTTACTGTTCCACAGTGAGTGCACTGAATCTCTTGCATTACCATTATTATCCACGGTGATTAAGATGACATTGATTTAAATGTCCCTTGATGGCTCTACAGGTCGAAGTACAAATACCATTATTGATCTGAATGGTCAAGAAATGAATTCTCTGCAAGGCACCGACCTGTTATTTTATGTTTAACTACAGGAACTCTCAAGATTGAAAGTTCAGGAGCAAGGTGGCTCCCAGTTTTTCCACCTCTCTGAAAAGCAGCCGTGCAGGCTTTCAGTTTGATGCTCTGAGACAGGCAGCTAGCCAGTCTTCAGCTCAATCACAGCATCAACCCACATTCCCCACCTCCCCTGCACATCAGCACGTGCTTGAGGCAGCAATATTGGAAGCGTTAGCTGTTGTAACAGGGCAGTATGTTCTTAAAAGTTTAAGGGCACAGAAAATATCACTTCATTTTTGACTGATCATGATCTCCCCGATTATCTAGCGTGCAGAAGTTGGACAGCCCTGAACTGATCCTCTCAACAGGATAAGCAGTGGATGAAGGACATTAGAGAAACACACCATCGTGACCTCTACTTCCTTCCCAGACTCCTAAAAAAAAAAAAAGCCCACAATGATATCAGATGTTCTGAGTACATTCATTACAAGCTACAAGTACCACAAGACTTACCAGAAAACCCTTCCAAAGCACGAGATGCGTAAGCATGCAGCTCACATACCTGTTACAGCAAAGTTTTATTCCTTTACCTTTACAATGGGACTTCCACGTCTATGAGAAATCAAAATATTGTCAGATTTCAGGTCTCTGTGCACTATCTGGTTTCTGTGCAGGAAAGCCACAGCGCTGCTGAGCTGCCGCATGAAGCTGTTATTCAGCTGAGCATCCGGGCTGCGAGACAGCAGGTATTCGTTCATGTTGCCACCGTCACAAAACTCCATCACAAACCAGAGAAAGCAGGCCGATTTGGGATCCATGCACCTCCGCCCTTTCAGGCAGGTCTCAATTAGCAGCAAATGGCTGTCTGATTTCCTGTATCGATGACTAATTGGCTGAAAGACTTGGCCGTTCTGCAGGATACACTCCTCCAACTGGATCACATTTTCGTGTTGCCTCTGGATGCTCTGCAGGGCCCAGAACTCTTGCAGAGCAAGTTCTACATTTTCGGGCACATTACAATGCATCCTTTTGACAGCGACTTTGCTTCTAGTTTGATTAACGATGGCCTCATAAACCACCCCATAGCTCCCTCGGCCCACTTCTCGAATGATGCTGTACTTGGCTTCCGTAGCCATCCCTCACTTCGGCCCAGTGAATGGCAAACCAGAGGAAAATATTTTTAACTCATGGCAATCAGTCGTCACCTGCGATAAAACCCTGGAATAAAAGGGGGTAAACAGCTTAAAACTCTCCCAAATAAAGCAGCTTTCCAATGATCAACTGCAAGTAACTTCCAACCAGCATCAATTTTAGCAGTGTGTGCATGGGTATATGATGCAGCTGCACGGGGACCGACAGCTAAAACAGGGTTTTAAGAGAAAAACAATATCCATGGTAACTTTGAGACATTATCAAGTACAATCCTGACTGCACAGTGGGATACAGCCACCTGGGAAGTGACATTGATTTGTCCACAGCGGACGAAGTTTAGTGAGAAAGAAAAAGAACTATGTAGACACGTTTCCTAAGCAGGGCAGGAAAGGGAAGACAAGACCTCCTGGGTAACAGCTGAACTCACTGTTACCAGAATTGACTTTTAAAGAAATAGTTAGCCAGAAGTGCCAGTTTGGCACAAGATCTTTCACCCTCACAACTGTACTTATCCATCAATGGCTATATTGTGTCCCTGCACTTCCACTGCCAATTTTCTACCAGTCCATGCCCTGATACTCACCCCCTTTTTCCGGCTCACCCTCTTCCAGCCCCTTCCCAAGCCTTACATCACACTTCCCCTCCACCCCAAGCTCCCTCTCCCACCCCCAGGCCACCCATCCCAGCTTTTCATTTCATTTCACTCTCCAGCACAGGCTCTCCCTGTGATTCTTGTGGTCCCTCGTTTAATGCCCACTCCCCTAGACCTATCCCCTAATAACCCAGCTCCAATCGTACCCCCTCATCTCACTTCTCCCTGCTCCAGCGCTCTTCAACACCAGCCCATTTAGCTCCATAATCAACACAGCAATTCTTCTCTCCCCACTCAATCTTTCCTCCAGATTCATGCCCCAGATGTTCCTTTCCCAATCCCCTTAACCCTTCCTCCTTCAACCCCCCCCCCCCTCCCCCCCCCCCCCCCTGCCACTGCCTTAAAGCCCCCAAATTCTCCTCCTGTCCTAAAACCCTCAGCCCAGCTCCCCAAGCCCCCTCTTCCCAAGCCCCCTCTTCCCAACCCACCCCATCTCCATCCCCCAGCTGTGCTCCTTTCCCAAACCTTTCATCTTTT